AAATACGTTGTCATTTCGATTCAAAATACCATTGGCACCCGAATTCACATTCTTTATACCACTCACAGCGCCACCTATTGATACACTTTGGAACTGGTTTTTCTTTTATGGCGTACCGTTTCACACTTCTTCAAGTATCTTCAGTTCAAATGTGAACTCATTGTGACAAGTGGTTCGTTTTTTATACAGCATTTTGTATATATATATACTACTGTGTCCAAAAGTATGACCCAATTTTCAATTTAAAATTCACGGGGCTTACGAAATTTCATTTTTTTCCCCTTCTTTTTTAGGTTGCTGGCACTGTCCTTGACATCTGTGTGAAATGTGACATTCAAAATATTTATGAGTGTTTGAGTTACGCTTGGCTTTGTGAGACGCTCAAACTGATTCCGGCGATTTTTGAAATGTCTGAATTTTATTGAGCAAAGAACTTGCATTCAATTTAGTTTGCGGAAACGTATAGGAAGTTGCAGAAGGCATTCCTATATCGGAAATAAATGTTTACAAGTGGTATAAACAGTTCAAAGAAGGAAGAGAACGCGTTGAAGACAAAAAGCCCTCTGGTCGACCCACCACCTCAATCGACGAAGCTCACGTCCAAAAGATTAAAGATTGCGTGCTTGCAAACCGTCGATTTACAATGAGAGACCTCGCTGATGATGTTTTAATTTCAAAAGGATCGGTCCATTATATTTTGGGCCTCAAACGCGTCACAACTCGATGGGTACCGAAAGCACTGAATGCGGCAGCTCCCATTGCACTGATTCTTCGTGACTTTTTCGCCAAACATGAAACCCATATCGTTCCACAACCATCGTATTCACACCGTGCGACTTCTGGTATTGGTCCTAAACTCAAAAGACCACTCCGGACAGACCGTTTTGAGTCGACTGAAGAGATTCAACGTGAATCGGCGCTCTTTGACGGCCATCCCGGCCGATGATTTTTTAGCATGCATTGAGGATTGGAAAAAATATTGGCATTGTGTCCGGAGTAGATGATTTTGAGGGGGGATGAAATAAATTTGGTAGAATGAATAATAAGTTTAAAAAAAAAAAATAATAATTGGTTTTACTTTTTGGGCACAATAGTATTGGTAATAGAGAAGGTTGATATCTCTAATATCCAAGTGATAAGAAGCGAAAGCATTCCAAAGATGGGGGAAAGTATCGCACCATCTCGATGAGGCAGCGGAAGGAAGACAGAAACCGAAAACAAAGAGATTACAGATCGGGCAGCGGAGAGACAATACGCTGTGAGAAGGGAGCGAACTGATGAAAGAGAGCGATACGAGAAGGCCAGCGCTTCCGGTGTCCGGGGTCGCTTCATCTCTGCAAGGTTAGCGAACTTTTCATTGCTGTCACTTTCCATCGCGACCATGCTGCGACACCCGATTAGTGTGGCACAATTGATCGCAGCCACTCAAACGAGGTTTTTAGGGATATTAAGGTAACTCTATAAAGAAAGATTATTGTGAGATAATAGAGAGTTTTTGCATACCGTACTTTAAAAATACGGTATTTTTTTTTCCTCTAGCACGCATGCTCATAGGAAACATTATTACAGATACGCATGCGCAATTTCATAAGAGCATGCGCGCTATTGAGAAAAAAATACCGTACTATAAAAATAGGTATGCAAATACTCTCTATTATATGTTTAAAACGGAATTCGTTTTATCAAATGCATGCACGAATGATGTGCCCGACTCTTGACTTAGTGGCAACATGCGTCGCTGGTCAGCATGAGATTTGAGGTTTCATCCGACGTCCCCATTGTTGTAGACGCTGCTTCAAAAAACGAGGCGATTCGATGGCGTTTGGACTTTTAGCATCTTGCCTCGTCAATCGGACAACTACTACGCCACACCACATCGCTGTGCCTAGAGCTTGAGTTGCCCCTATACAGTTTGGGGAAGGTGTGTGGGAGACAGAAGTCTGATTCAGCTCTGTGACGCTCTACTGTCCTATGAGACCAGGACCTACAGCTTAAAGTGGATTCCGAACCACTACAAACATCCATGGCCCCCTCCGGGATTCGAACCCGATACCTGTGGTACCGAGAGCTAGATTGCTAGCCTTTCGGCCAACAGGCTCCCTCGTGAGTCTGACTAGCTGGTGGGAGTTTCCTACCATACGATACGAACATGCGGAGTAGTTACCCCCTTAAAAGTTCCCCCGAAATGCACTGCCGTCCTTAGTGACTGGGAACCAAGTCAGACTTCTACCTACGGATGCTTCATTCCAACAGAAAATGCCCCCCCCCCCCTTTCCCTTAATCCATGAGTAGACTACTCAGGGGGAGTTCATGTTCGTTCCAGGCTGCTGGACACTGAGGATGAGTCCCAACAAAATGCATAAAATATTTAATGAACTAAAAAATATAATAATAAATTACATATAGTAGAGGAAATATACGAAATTTAATCAACAAATTATTCTCATTATAATATTCTTCTAGGATTTTATATGATTTATAATAAATGTGTGGCCGCCTAGATAATGAAATCTAATAATAGAATTGATTTGCCAAAAATATGAGTCTGCCAGGTGTGGGATTCGAACCCATGCCCTTCGAGAATCAGAGCTTCAACCTTTAGTTCAAAAAGCTAAAGACAATATTATTTTATAAATGAGCCCCAATCTAATATTTCGCGGGAACTAATAAATGCAGCGCGATTTGAGTTTTTAATGATTTTCCTCTTACGCAAACATCTCCGTCGTTAACTCTTTGAATGACAAAACCATAAAGTAGCACACCTATTTGCTTTACGTTGAAGATAACGAAATGAACCTGTGTGGCGTCCAACTGCCTTTAGACCAGGGATGGACAAACTTTTTCAGTCGCGGGCAAAACAATTGTGAACAATTTATAAAAGCTTCTGCTATGCTTCATCGAATGGAACATATTTTGGGTCCAATAAATTCTAGAATTAGTTTTTGCAATGACTTGAATTCGCATTACAATTTTCTCTACTTTCTTATCAAATCAGTGAAATTGGAGAAAAAGTAAATTAACATAGATTTGACGGTTTCGTTCATAAGAAAATACTACTGTTTTCAATGTAAATTTCCCGGGCATACGGTATTTCAATTTTTTCTTTCTTTTTTAGGTAATTGGCACTGTCCTTGACATCTGTGTGAAATTTGACGTTAAAATATTCATGAGTGTTTGAGTTACGCTTAGTTTTGGGAGACGCTAAAACTGATTCCGGCGATTTTTGAAATGTCTCATCAATCGACTCAAAACGGTGTCCCCGAGTGGTCTTTTGAGTTTAGGGAACAGCAAGAAGTAGCGCAATGCTAAATCAGGCGAATACGGTGGTTGTAGAACGATATAGGTTTCTTGTTTGTCGAAAAGTCACGAAGAATCAATGTAATGTGAGTTGGCCCATTCAGCGTTTTCGGTACCAATCGAGATTTGACGCGTTTGAGGCCCAAATCATCTTTTAAAATTCCAACATCATCAGCAAGTTCTGTAATTGTAAATCGACGGTTTGCAAGCACCCAATCTTTAATTTTTTGGACGTGAGCTTCGTCGGTTGAGGTTGGCGGTCGACCAGAGGTTTTTTTTTTTTTTTTTTTTGTCTTCAGTCTTCAACGCGTTCTCTTCCTTCTTTGAACTGTTTATACCACTTGTAAACATTTCTTTCCGATATAGGAATGCTCACCGAATGCCTTCTGCAACATTCTATACATTTCCGGAAACAAAATTTAACTCATGTTCTTGCTTAATTAATTCAGACATTTCAAAAATCGCCGGAGTCAGTTTTAGCATCTCACAAAACCAAGCGTAACTGAAACACTAATGAATATTTTGACGAAAAATTTCACACAGATGTCAAGGACAGTGCCAATTACCTAAAAAAGAAAGAAAAAAAAAATTGAAATACTATATGCCCGGAAATTTAAAATGATAATTGGTCTTACTTTTTGAACACTGTAGTATATCGTTTATTCCAAAATTTTCAATATCTAGGTGACTTTTAGCAAATAATAGTTAGAAACTAATAAGCCAACTTTTATCAAATGCTCTTTTTTCAATCCATGACATTAGAGAGTTTTTGCATACCGTACGTTAGTTACCGTAGGACGTCCGTTAGCTTTTTCTCCCTAGCACGCATGCTCTTAGGAAACTGCGCATGCGCGCTAGGGAGAAAAAGCTAACGGACGTCCTACGGTAACTAACGTACGGTATGCAAAAACTCTCTATTATCCACTAATTTTTAATAGCATTTATTAGACAACCCTCATAAATTTTCAAATTACTAAACATTTGTAGATATTTAGTATAAAGAGCAAAATGTTGATACTAGAAGGTCAAGAATGTTGCCAAAAAATCGCCAAGCTATCATCGCATTCGTTAAACTGTGAAGTAAAAGTCACGTGAGAAGTATGTTTGCCCCAAACTGCAACCCCAATGTGTGCTCTATTCTATAACTAATTTAATTATAACTGCAGTATTATATTATATTATTAATATATCTTATATAATTTATCATTAATTAATAATATTAATAACTATATCACTAATCTATATACAGGGTGATTATAATTGTTCCACTTTCAAAATGCTGTAAAAAAAAAAAAAAAAAAAAGATTCACTCGTCACAATGAGTTGAAATTTTAACTGAAGATACTTGAAGAAGGGGGAAATGGTACGGCATCAAAAGAAGTTCCGAAGTATATTAATAGAGGGCGCTGTAAGCGGCATAAAGAAAGTGAATTCGGCTGCCAGTGATATTTTGAATCGAAATGACAACGTATTTCGTATGACTTGCACATTCAACCAACTGTAGTGTTCAATGTGCTGGATTGCTTCGGGTTTTTTTTTTTCGGTCGGAAAAAAATCATTAAACAGTTGTGACACTGTTAGTGGAAAGTCTATTCACCACAGCAATTTGATTTGTCGCTCTACGGTCATCTTGTAAACACATTAGGCTAAACAGACCGGGACCTAGAGTTTAACGTGGATTCCGAACCACCAACAAACATCCATGACACCGCCAGGATTTGAACCTGAAGCCTTCGGCACCAACGACCAGAGTGTTAGCCAGTTGGCCGCTCCACCACAGCAAGGTCATATCAAATTGAATGAGAAAAATCAGTGGATTTTTTTTTTTTTTGTGCCATACAGTTTCCCCCTTCTTCAAGCATCTTCCGTTCAAATTTGAACCCATTGTGACTGAGGCTTATTGAAAGCTATCTCAGATCCATAATAAAAAATCTTATAGATACTATCCTATCATTAAAATAAAAATAAGATTTAATGCATTACAAATACACTCATGTCCATAAATTAAGGATAATGAAGTTCAGGCAAAGAAAGAGACAGAAGCAAAACAAATTTGACTTATTTGTAAAGTCTATTTATTAAACAAACGGTAAGGAGCAAAAAAGATGCTATATGTTTGACATAATTAATAAAAATTGCGATTTTTACTCCCTGGAGCAAATTTCAAAAAAGAACCTATTTACAAAAAACAGTATAACATGGTTAGTATGATGGTTAATATGGAGTGTGTCTCTCGGACGATGCAATACAGGCCTTACAACGCCTAGGCATGCTGAGTATCAAGTTATCAATCTGATCTTGGGGAATATTACACCACTCATCAAGCAATGCCCCCCGAAGTTCCGGTTGACAGGTGGGAGGGGGCTGACGGGCTGCAATTCGTCGGCCAAGCATATTCCACACATGCTCTATTGGATTCAAGTCCGGTGAGTATGCTGGCCAATCCATACGGGTGATATCCTCCAATAGAAGGCATTCGTCTACAATGTTTGCACTGTGAGGACGGGCGTTGTCATCCATAAACAGAAATTCAGCACCCATGGCGCCCCGAAACAAACCGTTACACTCTGAACATGCAGGTCAGTTCTGGAACCAAGAATAATTCCTCCCCAAACGAGCCATCCTGCACCACCGTAACGGTGTCGTTCAATGGTGTTCTCTTGGTGGTAACGGGTACCTGGCGCTCTCCATAGGAAAGTCTGGCGAGAATCAGACTGCAAACTAAACCTGGACTCGTCGGAAAACATCACACAAGACCACTGTTGCGGTGTCCACAATGCATGCTCTCTACTCCAGGTTAATCGCAGGCGACAGTGAGTTGCGGTAAGTGGAACACATCTGACAGGCCTACGAGCATATAGACCAATGTTCCCTAAGCGTCTGTACACGGTCTGCCTTGAAACTGTTGTACCGGTAGCTGACGAGACAGGTCTGATGCTGCGCTCCGTCTGTTTCTTTTGGCAGTAACTGCTAAATACCGGTCCTCATTCGGCGTTGTAACTCGGGGGCGACCTGTGCTGTAACATCTACTCACATTACCATCATCTTGGAATCGTTGCCAAAACCTGGAGATGACACTCTGGGCGATTCCAAGTTCCTCGGATACTTCCAGCTGGTTACGTCCACATTCCAGTCGTCCGATAATTCTATCACGTAAAAAATCATCCAAATGCTTCCTTTGTGTCATAACTATGCGGTTATTGCACTGAAAGGCTTTTAAAGCGCTTGTGAACAATTTTACTTCTTTGCCACCATTCCTTATATACCCCTCTCTTACACTCTCGTCATTGTGACGTACTATCCGCGCCATCTGGTGGTTTCCTGTAATTTGCATATTCTTCTTCAAGATGTGTGTGATAATTCTACAGGTGAAATTTTTAGTTTAGAGCTCAATTTCTGTGTGATTCTGGATTATCCTTAATTTATGGACATGAGTGTAGAACATCTATGTGAATTTTCTTTACTTGTATTCTATAATACTTTTTTACCTCAGACTTTAGTTTAATACTGTTATTTTTACAGGTAATCTTTTATAGTTTTTTTTTTTTTTTTTTTTTTTTTTTTGTAATAAAAATTATATTACAAGAGTAACCTTTAAGCGATGTTTGTTAGTGCAAAATTTTGTTACTGTTATCAGAGTTAAAAAAAAAAAAAAAAAAAAAGCTATTAATTTGATTTCACTATTCTTCTAAGTTTATTAGTAAGGATTGAAATTATGGTTAATAGTCAGGAGTCAGAAGATTCTTCGCCAACTCTTCACCCCTGGTTATTACTCTTCCTTGGTCAGTATTTTCATTAGATCATCGATCAATTGGGCAAGGAAGGTCACCAAATGAAGGCTTATCAAACCATTGCAAGTACAATTAAGGGATGCCTGGCGGAATATACTACAAAATGAAATTAGAAACCTTTATACAAGTGTGCCTCACTGCCAATTGCTGAATTGTTTACGTAATTGTCAATAATTAATGGTCTAGAATTTCCTTTCATTACCTGTGCATGGGTTTTACTACTGTGCCCAATAAGTAAGACCAATTCTTTTTTCAAAAACTCTTTATTTATTCTTCCAAATTTATTTCATCGCCTTCAAAGTCATCCCCTCCGGACACAATGCAATCATACCAACTTTTTTTTCCAATCCTCAATACATGCTAAAAAGTCATCGGCACGGATGGCCTTCAAAGTGCGCGCCGATTCACGTTGAATCTCTTCAATCGATTCCAAACGGAGTCCCCGGAGTAGTCTTTTGAGTGTAGGGAACAGCCAGAAGTCGCACGATGTGAATACGGTGGTTGTGGAACGACATGGGTTTCATCTTTGACGAAGAATCAATGCAGTGTGAGCTGACGCATTCAGTGTTTTCGGTACCAATCGAGATGTGACACGTTTGAGGCCCAAAATGGAATGAGCCGATCCTTTTGAAATTCCAACATCATCAGCAAGGTCTCTAACCGTAAATCGACGGTTTGCAAGCACAAAATCTTCAATGTTTTCGACGTGAGCTTCGTCGGTTGAGGCGGATGGTCGGCCAGAGGGCTATTCATCTTCAACGCGCTCTCTGCCTTCTTTGGACCACTTGTAAACATTTTTTTCCTATATAGGAATGCTCACCGAATGCCTTCTGCAACATTCTATACGTTTCCGCAAACAAAATTGAATGCAAGTTCTTCGCTTAGCTTTGTTTAGCGACTCACAAAGCCAAGCGTCAAAATATTCATTAGTGTTTGAGAACACTAATGAATATTTTGATGTCAGATTTCCCACAGATGTCAAAGACAGTGCCAGTCGCGTAAAAAATAAAAATAAAAAAATAAAATGAAATTCCATAAGCCCCGGAAAATTTAAATTGAAAATTGGTTTTACTACTTGGACACTGTAATATACAAGTATGCCTCACTGCCGATTTGATTACACAATTGTTAGTAATTACTGGTCTAGAATTTCATTTCATTACCTGTGCATGAGTTTTATGTACATTTAATTTCAATAGAAACAATCCTCTTCTACACAGTGCTTTTTTTTTTTTTTTTTTTTTTTACAAAAGTATTTTATTCGTAAAAAGATTTATTTAAATTCAAAAATTTTTTTTATATCCTACAAAAGGAATTTAATGGTATATTCAAAGATTGCAATTTTGCAAAAATTTTTTTGATTAATTCTTTCACACTTCGAAAGAAACAAAATCAAATTAAAAAACAGGACACACATGAAAACTGACAGAGCGTAGTCATATTTCATTCTCAATACACAGCTGATAAAAGAAATATATAAATTTAAAAAAAAACAACTTTATTATCAATTTTAAACTTATATATAATATTTACGAGAATAAAAAAATATAAATTAAATAGCAACATATTTTTACAAAACAAAGTATATTATAACATTCTATTATATTTAACAGATGATACAAAAAAATTAAGTAAATGCAAATTAACATAACAATCAAATATAAAATGAAGCTCGAAGGAAATAAATAACGAACAAGTAACACTAAATAAATAAATATTACACATATATAAAACAACATTTACAATAAAGTTATTTTCATTACTTTATAGAAAATAGTGGAATGTTACACCTAACATAGATAAAAATATGTAATAAAATTTGCAAGAATTTTTAAAATAATTTATCTAGTAGTAATTGCTAACATCTATTTTAAACACCGAGATTATATTTGTTTGAAGGAATAAAATTAATAATGCATTATCGAGGCTCCTCTATTGTTACTGCAACACCATGTGATTGAAGAAATCACTACACAAGCAATGGACAATATTGCTTCTAGAAAATTCCAGGAAGAATTTAGTTTTGAAAGTTCCAATAAAAATACACATTTTCTTACAATTATTATAATAGTAAATACAAAAAATAAATAAATATTCACAATTATTTATGCTTTTAGAATGTCTATAGTAATTTAATATTTGGTGAAAAATCAATTGGGGAAAAAAAAAAAAAAAAAAAAAAAAAAAAAAAAAACACCCCAGCTGTAGTCCAGCCACAGATTGTGTGGGATGGTGGTAAACATCTGATTTAACGCAGAAATGGACGAATCAATTACTTGCAAGGAGTTCTTGTCAGATATATCCAGTACAAAGCTGCTCCAACTTGCCAATTATCCACACAATCGGTGGTCGGATTATAATTAATTTTATTATTATTATAGAGTTCAGAGAAATAAGGCAATGGAAGAAAAAAAGTTGCTACTGGAAAGGATGACCATTTCAATATGGTAATTGGTAAATATTGTGTCAGTAGAATGAGCAATGCTAAATCTTTTAGTTGCTCTGACATTTTACTTAAAATCAAAACATTAAACAATAAATCATTTCACTACTGGTAATCACCTAATATATGCATTGACTTGACTTTGAGATATATGCTCACCTATTAGTAGTATATGCAATGGAAACTGAATTCCTCTTAAAAAATATAACATTAAATGTTAAAGTTTAAGTTGCACCTCATAGTTCGACAATCCTCATTGGAATAAGTTATGAGCCGTCGTTGAATCAGGGCCCATAAAAAAAATAAGAAAAATCTCAAATTATTTGTAAATATTAATCTTTCAACAAGTAAATAATAGCAAAATTTACTTATATAATTCTTGAATTATATAAATTTTTATTAATGAATTCGATTTATCTAATAATTTAATTCCGAACTTTAATACACTGTACAGAATTTAAAAACTTTAATATACAAACAAAAAAATATTCAAAATATTATAAAATAATTTTTAATCTATGACAACCTTCCAGTTAATACTAAAAATGCCACT